AAAAATGGTGCCGATGTTGTAGACCTGAAAGCGGCGTTTGATTCAGTGGACAGGAGATTATTAATAAGTGCCATGAGAGAGAGGGTAAAAGAAGGCTGATAGACAGAATGGAAGAAATTTTGAGAGAGACGAGAAGCAGAGTAAAGGTGGGAAATAAAGTGGGAAAAGAATTCTGAACGGGAGAGAGTTGAGACAAGGACGTCCGTTGAGCCCTATCTTATTTAATTTGCTGTTAGCAGATTTAGAAGAAGAGAAAAAAAGATGAAATGGAGAGGGATAAAGTTGGGAGAGATAAGGATATACTCATTGATGTATGCGGACGACGTAGTTTTACTAGCGAAGAAAGAAGGTAGCATGAAAAGTATGATGGAAAGATTGGAGAGATATTTGGATACTAAGGGAATGGAGCTAAATGCAGGGAAGAAGAAGATGATAAGGTTTAGAAAGGGAGCAGAAAGAATGAGTAAGATAAATTGGTAATCAAAGGGAAGAAAGATAGAAGAGGTGAAGGAATTTAAATATTTGGGATATATAATTCAACGAAATGATAGTCAGGACAAGTAAGAGAGAAGGTGACGAAGGCAGCAATAATGGGACAGGTATGGGGTAAAGAAGATTTGGAAAAGACTGGAAGAGAAGGCTCTGTTTGACGCTTTGATATGGATGGACTGTGATGGGATACGGGATGAAGATATGGGAATAGAAAGAAAGGAAGAAGGTACATGAGAGTTGGGAAAAGGTACATGAGAGATTTTTAAAATGGATTTTGGAACTAGAGAGGAGAATTACGGAAGGATATTTAGTAAGGGAAGAAGTGCAAAAGGACTTGATAAAAAATAAGGCAGGGAATAGAGCATGGGGGTTTGAGGAAAGGCTGGATGAAGGAAAAGAAAGTATACTGGTGAAGATGTGTTTAAGGAAAATGAGAGACAATGCAGGAAAAGGGAGGGAGAGAAAAACTTTTTTGACAAGTGGGAGATGGAAAGGAAGAAATTTTTTACAGATAGAGGGATAGAAGTGCAGGATTGGGAGAGACTAAGGATGGAAGGAAGGTTGAGTTTTGAGGAATTGATAGAAAGGGATAAAATAAAACAGAAGGAACAAAGATGGGAGAGAAGGATAGGAAAGACAAAATACAGCAAGTGATATGGATGGGTGAAAGAAGAGGGTATACCGAATTATTTAGAAAAAGGATGGGAGGAAAGCAGATGGAGGAGAATGGCGTTCAGATTAGGGAACGAAATATTGGAAGAGAGGTATTGGGAAGAGGAGGAAAAGAGGATGCAGATTGTGTGGAGGCATAGAGAATATATATGGAGTGTAGGAATTGGGAGGAGAAAGAAGGAAGTTGATAAGAGGCGTGTAGAAGAATATTGAGAGAAGAGGGAGAGGGGGAAGGGTGGATGAGAAGGTGGTGTTTGAAAAAGAAGAGGAGAAGGGGGAGAGAAAGAATGGTTGAGAGAGAGGAAGAATGAGTGTGAATAAAGAAAATTGTAAACGGAAACGGAAGTCCAGGCGAGAGAGCGAGAGAAAGAGAGAGAGAGATAGGTCGAGCGTGCGGTAATTATAAGTTTAGCATAAGATAGTAAAGTTAGGATAAGACGTGTATATATAGCTGATAAGGATAAGTGAATAATTGTAATCCCAAGGGGAATAAACGAATATCATAACTGTCAATGTATAAGAAATATTAAATAAAATAATGCAATGTTATGTTTCAAGTTGCATAAATAGATTCGACAGCTAAAATTGAAAACGAATCAGTGTAAACAAAAATTGCAAAATTACATTCCACATATAAAATTATTTCTGTATTGTACGAGGGTAGTCTGAAAAGTTTTGAGCCTAACATAGAAACAAATATTTTTTCGGTCAAATATAGTTTTATTTTTCAACATAATCTCCTTTTAAGTTGATACACTTTTCCCATCAATACTCTAATCTCTTTAACCCTTTCAAATAGTAATTGGCGTCTTGCTCCGCAAAATAGATGTTTACGTATGCGATAACTTCGTCGTTCGATGAAAATCTCTATCCTCCAAGCGAAACTTTAAGCTTAGGAAACAGGAAAAAGTCGCTGGGGGTCAGATTTGATGAATACGGTGGGTGGTCAACCAATTCGAAGTGCAGTTCGTGAATTTTGGCCATGGCGACCGCCGAAGTGTGAGCAGGTGCGTGGTCTTAATGAAACAGCACTTTCTTCTTCTTCAAAAGTGGCCGTTTTTTTGCAATTTCTGCCTTCAGTTTATCATAAGTAATGATATCTTAAGTAATGATGCATAATACGCTCCCGTTACCTTTTTCAAGATAGTTGATACACACAATTCCGTGACTATCCCAAAAAACAGTCGCCATTACTTTCCCAGCTGAGGGAATCGTCTTCACCTTTTTCAGAGCAGGTTCACCCTTTGCAGTCCATTGTTTTAACTGTTCTTTTGTCTCTGGAGTGTAGTGATGGATCCAAGTTTCATCTACAGTTATGAATTGACGCAAAAAATCTGACTTGTTTCGCTTGAACCGCTCCAATAGGGCTTTGGAAATGTTCATTCGAATTCGTTTTTGGTCCAAAGCGCGGCACCCAACGCGCGGATAGCTTGCGCATATCCAATTCTTCAGTCAATATATGACAAACGTATTCTTTCGATATGCCCATAGCCTCTGCTATCTCTTTAATCTTGATTCAATGATCGTCCAGTCCTATTTGGTGAACATTTTCGATGTTATCAGTGGTGGTCGCAGTATTTGGTCATCCCGAACGCTCATCATCAGCCAAGCTGGTACGACCACGTTTAAATTCAGCTGCCCATCTTTTTACGGTGGCAAATGATGGGGCAAAGTCCCCGTAAACAGCGTCCAACTCGATTTTAATTTGCGCAGGCGTATTGACTTTCAAATGTAAAAATTTAATCACGGCACGATATTCAATTTTTTCCATTTTTACAAAAATACTGACATCGATTGACACAAACGACTGTCAAACAACAACTGAGCGTCCAAAATGGCTGAAATTTTCACAAAAGTCTTTCAAAGCATATACTATTGTAGTACTAGAATGGTTTTGACGAGTCATCTTCATGTTAAGGCTCAAAACTTTTCAGACTACCCTCGTATGTATTGTAAGATAATAGTAGTCAATTTCCATAGAAATTGTTTAATATAATATTAATATAAATAAAATTAAAAAAATATATAAAATAAAATAATAAAAATAAATAAATAAAATAATAATAAAAAATAGTAATAATAAAATAAATTGTTTAACATAATGTTAATGTAATTTATTATCTTCTATAACATAATATTAACTCTTCTTATATTTTTAAGCATTGTTTTTTTGTTTATTTGATCATGATTTAATTAATTTCTTTTCAACGGAATAATTTTTATCATTTTGTTTACATTTATTATTTGCAAACTGCTAAAGCGTTATATTACATGGTACTGAGCATGCGCATCATAGTGTGCCAATACAATTTAGACATAATCCGCCCCTCGCATTTTAGCACAACTCTCCGCTATTTTACGGGCTCATGCTCTATCCCTGTATTCCTATGTCCATGTTCAAAATATAAAAAATAACAATGAGAGTAACTGTTAAATTCGTTGCTGTTACTGAAAAAATGTAATTATTCCGTTATGTTACAGTTACCAAAAAAAGATAACGCGTTACAAATAACGCTTTACTTCACAATCCTGATTTAAATGTATATATAAATTTGTTTTTATTGCCGCACTAGGGCTGCATTAAAATTGAACTAAACTATAAAAATTGATAAGAAAATATATTGTAATTGCTAAGATCTGTAATAACAACCGACAATTGACTCGGTGAAACGCATACTCTCTCTGTTTTTTGCCAATCTTCGGTTGGCAGCAGTTGGGAGTAAAAACTGAGTTAGTGCAAGCGAAGATACAGTGCAAATAGGCAACAAAGAACGTTATAGTGAGCAGTGCAAAGGCAACATGGTAGATCACATGGTTCTTATGGAATTATTAGATGTTTCTGATGACGATAAATTTGTAATTGCACTTTCATTATTAGAAACAATTTTAGTTGAAGATAATGATGATAAGAAGTTCTAATCATATATATTATTATATACAAACTTAATATTATTAATAATAACATAATACGCAAAATTTAACCTGACTATTTAAAACACAACGAATTACAAATATTACATCCATTATAAAGAAATCACAAAAATATATTTTTCATGTGTCTGTATTTGAAAAAAATTATTATTGATATATGATTCATACTTCATCTAATTATTACATTTTAAATTATTAGATCATGTTATTATTAATTTGTTAAATAAGATCTTTACTGTATTCTTTTTAAAAAAAGAATGACATCGATTACTCGTATTTCTCGAACTTTATTTTTGTCGCTTTTCCGCGATGTTGGTTCTCTCGCTGAGCTAACTTCGTGAATAGCTGTCATTATATTGATTTCACAGAGAATCGTTTTGACAATTGTGTATCGAGAAGTTAAAAATATTATTGTGTAACAGTAGTATAATAGTATTATATTAATTTCTGCTCTTGTGTTGAAAAAGATAAATAGCGTGCGCGCAGCGCGCATTTGTAATGTCTAGTTTTATAAAACTTTGATAGAAGAATTATTAATAAGCTTTTATCATCAAATTAATAGTTACATAAATTAATAATTTCGGATTTATTAACTATTCAAAATGACAGTATATTTTTCATGTACTAAATCGTAGAGTAAGAAATTCGTGAAACATAGATTAAAATAGCTTTATATTTAATAGATTTATATTTATGAAATTATGACTATATTTTCAATTAAAGATTTTAAAAATTAGTTATGACTGTAAATACTAAATTTAGATGGACAATCTAAATATCTACGGAGATACATGTAACGTATCCATTTTCATTTATGAGAACGTTTCCTGTGTTGTCTTTTTTTAATTGCTATTTTTTTCATTGTTTGCATTTCTACTTTTTCTTTCTCTGGTTGTTTCCTTCATATACATAAATCAAATTTTAATATAATATAAAATCATTGTAATAAAAAAGAATAATTTCAAAAAAATTTCAAGCATTTGTGAGACATTAAACAGTAAGTATAAATTTAAAAATATATATGTAATATTTATAATATTTATAATATTTTATATTTTATATAGAAATAGATATATAATATTATTAATTATTATGCGTTAGTGTTCGCCTTTCTAATCTACAAATTTTCTATTTTTAACATTTAATATCTATTTAATATCTAATTTAATATTTAATGAATACTGTTTTCTAAACAGTGAATTCCGATAATTTTAATTTGCGTATCTCCAGTAATCCTTTCTAAAAAAAGGCATAACATCGATACTCGCATCTCTCGAAATTATTGTTACCGTTTTTCCGCGATGCTGATTGGTTCTCTCGCTGCGCTAACTTCGTGAATAGCTGTCATTGTATTGATCTCACAGAGGATCATTTTGACAATTGTGTATCAAGAAGTTAAAAATATTATAATAGTATTATAATAGTATTGTAATAGTATTATAATATTATAATAGTATTATATTAATTTTTGCTCTTGTGTTGAAAAAAATAAATAGCGCGCGCGCAGCGCGCGTTTGTAATATCTAATATGTATTGTAATATGTATTAAAATATATAAACAATATCAAATGAGATACTGAAATTTATACTGTAAGAAAGTTTCTATTTTCATACTTACTGATTAATATCTTATGGTGTTCAAAATTATTGCTACTGATTTAATTTCGTTTGCCCTGCACTGCTTGCACTAACTTTAAATCAGTTTAGTAAATTGTTGCACTGCGTTCCACTGCATATAAAGAAGATACGTAGTTGCTTTAAAATCATTATATGTTTAGCAATACAGATACATGTTATTTTCTAAAAACATCCTTTCTCTACATCCTTTCTATATATCAATTGATTATAAAAAATTTACAACTTTTATCTAAATTTTTTTTTTAAATTGTATTGTTTACAAGATATTCGATATCTAGATTTTTGACGCACTCTGTATATGTGTATAAACTTGCTTTCTTGTTAGCTACAATTTTTGATTTGCAAAATATTTTATAAAACTTACATACAGTAAACAAGTAAAGTTGTTAATTTAATTTAAAAGTAGATTTGATATCATCAACATGGAATTATTTTGGTAATTGCTAATTGATTACCTCTTTTACAATTAAAAATTTTTAATCAAATCTTAATATGGGCATGTTGACAAATTTATTGATCGTAACATCTAGTTTAACATTATAGTATCGACAAGAAAATGCATATTCTATTTACGAGTTAGTAGTGTTATATAAGATGTTGATCATACATAATGTGATTGACGTTTGTCAATTAGCATAATGCAGATATATGATATATACTAAATATTTAATTATCAAATGCATTTTTATTTACACAGAAATGATGAAGAGCCGGAGTTTCAGAAAAGAAATCGAAAATATTGAATAATCAACACTTTATTTTAATGATTAAATTGAAAATACTGTCTTTCAATAAGAAAAAAAATAAACAATAAAAAAATTAATAGATAAAATAAAAAACCGATTTAAATAAATTAAGATTTAAGTAATAATAATCAAAAAAATTGACGTGAAGTATACAACATAAACATAGATCTTAATAAATTCAAAAGAAAGAAAGTTGTGCTTAGAATGGAATAAAAAGCAGATTCACTTTCTTCTTGAAGAAAGAGAAAAGGATGGATGAATTGCCAAAACTTTTTCAACTTCCGGGAACTAATGAAGAAGAGGAACAACGAAAGGTGACAGTGGGTTGTAAAACAAAAAAATTGCTAGATAACGCTGCTGAATCTCTTCTTTCAAGTCAAAAAGATATATCAACATTTACTACTTTACCAAGGAATGTTACTCTCATCAGAGTCAGCACCCAGAGCAGCAGTATTGCCGGTGGTATCGGTCGACAAGATTCCATCAGGTAAAAATCTATTTAATTCAAATCATTTTATTTGTTTAAAATTCGCTTATACGATCAGATAATACAGATTTTATTTGTATAAAGATATTGAAAGAATCATGAGAATGTCATGAGATCATTTATTTTTGGAAGAGTGCCATACTAAAAGTGAGCGCACAAGATTTGCTCGAATAATTATCAGCTCTTCTCAACAGATGTTCTTTATAACTTCATATAAGTTTGACAAAGAAGTAAAAGAATATTTCAATAATTGAAATATTAAATTTGAATGCATATGTAAAAAGTATGTAATTGTAACTTTTAAAAAAAGTATATATTACTTGCATATTATTAACTTTTTTAGCATAATTTTTTATTAAAGCATTTTTCTCTTAAAGAATGCATATATCTTTTTCATACTAATTGATTTGTCCCATTATTTTGTAAAAAAATATAAAAATGTTTTTATGAAGAAACAAATAGTCTACAAGATATTTTAAATTTCATGTAAAAATATGCTAGATTGAAGTATAAAAAACATCTTACTCATAAATTGATTTTTTAAAAACTGTACCTTAATATTTTAATATTCAGAATGAAGAATCATATTCATTAGAAGAATTATATTACGTAAAAAAAAATATAATTTTGTTTAAAGAAATGACGTTTATAAAGAAATGGTGAAAGTAGCTCCAGCTACGAATAAATCAATTTCATAATCATAGAATCCTTTCAAAATCATAAAATTTTGATCTGACACATTTTTTTAAACATCGTAATTTCCAAATATTTAACTGTTAAAAATAAAATCGGACCTTGTATATATACATATATATCCTGTATGTGTATATATTTATAGGGTGTCCCATTTTAATTAAAACTAATTTCTGAAAAAATAAACATTTTAGAAAAAATTTTTTACACAAACATATACGCGCACGTGCACACACACACACACACACACACACGCGCGCGCGCGCGCGCGCATGAAAGATATTCTATTTTATTTTATACTATTAATTACATACATATATATTTTGCAAAGTTTTTATATACAAATTGTTTTTTTTGTTTCATGCACAGAGCGTAAACTTAATGTTATTTTTTTATATCTTTTTTAAAAAGGTAAATTTATTTTAATTTATTTTATAAATTTATTTGCAAGTGATATTGTATGAGTAATATTATGCATTATACGGATTTAATGAATGACAACTAATTAGAAATATAATGAATACAAAGTAAACACATATGGTAACTCTGTTTGATCATGCACATATGCTTATGCACATGCAGTAATATGTACGAAACATTTATTACGTGTTAATTACGCCTAATGATGACAAAGTCTCGTACTGATATATTGTATTTATTTCTACCACTGACAAGCAAGGTCTTAATAAAAAGAAAAAAACATTATTCTCGCAGCAAAATTTATGTTACTATATGCTAAAAATAGATAGAATAGACAGAAATGAATGAACTCATCATTAATTACTCAACATTATAGAAAAGACTTTCCTTTTGATAAAATAAAATAATTTTCAAAACAACATGAAAAATTGTTTTTTTGAATTTTGTCCAGTTTGTGTAAAAAGAAATATATTTTAGTGGTTATAACCCTATTAAGGCATGATAAAGTCATTTCAATTCCGAAATATTTGCGAGAAAATCAAGTTTAAAGTTTCTCAACTTATATATTGCAATTGTTTTACATCTTTTGAATTTAGTATAGGCTGCGTAAGGTGCTTAACCACTACTAGTGGTTAAACACACACACACACACACACACACACACACACACACACCACGCGCGCGCACACGCACACACATACAGGATGCCTCATTAAAATATCTCTTTAGAAAAGCATTTTAGAGAAAACATTTTAAACAAAGGTTGTAGGGTTCAGAGGAAAACATCTGATGGTGATCTTGTTTGTCATAGATATCCTTTTCAAAGATCATTTAAAGGTAAACTTTTTTAAACGGAATGATCTACTTTTGATACCGGAAATGGATAGAGAAGGAAGTTTTACGATAAAAACATGTAGAAATATGGGGTCAAATTGATCCCAAGGGGATTTTCAAGAGATCAAAAAAATTTTCACTTCAGAAATGAATAAAGCATATCAAAGCAATCTGTAATGCAATTATGCTTCATGGAGTCAAGCTCACTACAAAGATCATTTCAAGGTATACATATGTATTCAGTATGTGAATGGAACCAATACTTCGTACAACCGTTCAATTTCGAATAAGGATTTTTGCAGCAAACGACGCATGTTCATCTCACTACGAATCGTTAAATATTTTCTTGAACAAAACGTATACCCGTCACACAATTTTTACCGAATTTCGCTGAAAACTGAGCTACGCGCTCGACTTTTCGAGCCTTTCTTTGATGCTGTACACGCGATAATATCCGTAACATTTGCCCCGAATAATACACCTTTAATCTCTCGTCGATCTTCTATTTTCGGAACTTTTGGATAATCGCAAAATCCCTCTTTTTGTTACGAATAAATTACAGGTCAAAAATTATACAAATATTCTCAGGTCATTATTCCACTTCCGAAAATGTAAGGAATAATATAATAATAATAATATAATAATAATTGATATATCCTCTTAGTTCATTGATATTTGTGAGTAGAAAAAATCAACCCCTTTTCTTTTTAAAAAAATTTTCTTCTTAGATTATGTGATGAAAATAAGTAGATAGGATCTTAGAGATTTAATTTTCTAAAACGAAATGCCAGATATTCCGAACAAAATCGTTGATATTATTGTGGCACTTTTAGAGTCGTAATTATCGACAAGCAGAAGAATTATACCACAATCAGTTTCTTCAAAGACAGCACCCGAATTATCGTACGATTGCCAAGATTATTTTACACCAATAACAACGTGAAGCACGACAAAAACATTGTTTCAACCAGAAAGAAATGATCCACAAGCGCTTGCCGTGTTGGGTATGGTCGCCATTAATCCGCATATATCAACATGGCAGATTGAAAGCGAATTAAGTCATCCAAAATCAATAGTTCACAGGATTTTGAAATTCCATAACTTCCACCCATACCATATTACTTTAACACAAGAATTAATGCAACGCATTTTCAACAAAAACTGGTGTTCTGTAGATGGACACGAACAATGTTGCGACATGATCCAACATTCTTTAGGTATGTATTGTTTTAGCGATTAGGCTACGTTTCACAATACTGGACAATTAAATCGGCACAATTCTTATTATTGAAAAATCCACTGCTGTCGTGAAGACAATCATCAACATCGCTGGAGTTTGATTATATGATGTGGCCTCTTAAATCTAATCGGACCTTCTTTAATGAAAATGTAAATGGTGCTAATTATTTACATTTTGTACAGTACGACTTGATAAAATTGCTTAACAACATCGATCTGACAACTAGGGAATGTATATAGATTCAATAAAATGGAGCTCCATCACATTGGAATAAGATGGACAACATTTGAATCTAACATTCCTAAGTCGATGGCCGTGGTGGATCTGTTTCATGGTGTCCTAGGTCTCCAGACTTGACAAGTCCGGATTTCTTTTTATGAAGTTTTTTTGAAAAACATTGTGTACTCAAAAGAATCCACTACAGAAGAAAATATGATGGAGCGTATAACTCTTGCTTGTCGGAGCATTGCGAAAAATGTTCTTCTGTCAACTATCGATAACTTTGAATTTAATTATGTCTAGAATAACGGACAGATATTTGCATTTATTAATAATAGAACACCTCCCAATTGTGAGAGACAAAGGGACGCTCACGCTAAATAAACACCACAGATCGCGAGAGATAAGAGGACTCACGCTAAACAAGCATTCCAGATCGTGAGAGGCAAAGGGAATCACAATTTCGTTTTTATTTAGGAAAAAATTACGTTGACCTTGAAATGATTTCTGTAGTTAACTTAATCCCATGACATGAAGCATAACTGAACAACAGCTTGCTCTAATATTTATTCATTTCTGAAGTGAAAATTATTTAACCTTGAAATGATCCCTTAAGATCAATTTGACACATGTTGCTATATGCTTTTATCGTAAAATTTCTTTCTTTATTTATTCACTTTTCAGTATCAAAAGTAGGTCATTCCATTTAAAAAAGTTTATAAATAATCTTGAAAAGGATCTTTAAATAATCTTGAAAAAAGACATCTGTGACAAAAGTAAGGTCATTATCGGATGTTCTCCTCTAAATCCTACAACTTTTGTTTAAAATGTTTTCTTTAAAAATGTTTTTTCTAAGAAAATATTTTAATGGATCTTTTAAAATAGGACACACACACACACACACACACAGGCGCGCGCGCGCGCGCGCACAAATTGAAATTTGATTAAATTTTTCTGTAAATTTTAAGTGCATCTACTTTTTTGGGAGTGAGTATACATATATAGGGTGTCACAAAGTCGGGACTCCTGAATATCTACGAAAAAAATAAGTTACAGAAAGAAGTGTTTCGAATAAAAGTTATAAGATTTAAAAAGAAATTAGATTTAAAAATAAGATTTAAAAATAAATATAATAGATTAAAAATCTATTTATTGATCTTATCAGTTTGACCTTAGGTGGCGTCGCCAAGTATAGCACTATGTATTTCTTTTAAAAAATAACTATGAATTTTGTTTACAATTCATTATTCATTTCATTATTCTGAAAGTATTAGGATATAGTTGCAAAAAAATAAATAGTGTAGAGATGTTTTATACTTTATATCAAATTCAAATCTCATAAATCAGAAAGTACTTGATGAAGAAATACTTTATTATAATGTTTTGAAAAGCACTCGAGGTCAAC